CAGTGACATCTACTAAACAGATGAGTTATCAATAAATCCACCGATCAGGACAACGTTGCAAGCTAGACAGGGAAATGTTTGTCATTGCAGGCTTTAAACATGCTTTTTTAATCCTGCAAGGCTGGGTGTGAGTATTGCCTGCAGTACTCAAAAATGCACTTTTGATCTAAATTTGTGGTTTTATTTTACACTTTGTACAATAACTACGTTGCTTTTATAACTGGAGGTCTGGAGAAAAGCGATTGAAACACAAAGCTTGAATTCATCGTACTGTGACATGGAGTTACAAAGGTAACACCGCACTCACCAATGAATTCGATTCTTAACCTCAGATTAAATAAGTGAGGCAAGGTTTCATTTTAAAGCAGCGTGCAAAAGCTTCAAGCGCAGCCTGTCTGCATTAGACATGCGAGCTGACACGTATTTACCAAAGCGGTCCTTCTCTTTGCTGCGTGGCTGACAGTAGACCACCACCTCCGACATCTCCTTGGCGACCTCTGCCTTCTTCTCCACTTCCACCTGTTGTTTCATCTGATATCAAACAGAAAAACAAGTCACTTCCTGGTTGCACTGTAATGTGGACAGACCACCTATGAATACAGACGCCGATGTGGTTTTGCATCTTGCACTTTGCTTCGGTCAATATACAACCTTCCTGTAAGCTCACACAGATGATGCTCTTTTACATCATTTCTTTGCAGTTATAGTTTCTTCAGTTATTCGTTTTTACATTAATTTTGTATATTTTTAAATGATTTCAAATTACAACAACATTTGTGATCCTCTGTGAGCAAGCACTTTGTGACAGTGGGAAAGAAGAACTCTCTTTTAACAGGAAGAGAGCACCAGTAGAACCAGCCCCACTGACTGAACGGAGCATTTTGTGTCTCACTGTAGCAGTTTTTGTCGTTGTAGTTGTTAGTAAGTAACTTTGTATTCACTTGTAGTCACTTTGTATCTCCTTTAAAGTCACATTCACACAAGCCTAGAGAACATTGGATGACACCCCAGTTGCTAGGGACGGCTTGCAGAAGGTTACCTGCTGTTGCCAGGTGATATTGCTTGCAAAGATGCATACACTGCTGCACCAAAGACCTGCTTGTGATTGCTTTGGTCGCGGGCAGATTCCTCCCATCACCAGTGAGATTTGCATTGGTTGGTTTCAGCATTAAAGGCAGAACTTTGGATGCAAACGTTCTGTTTTGTGCTGCAGTTTCACTAACGCTTGGTGGTTAGTTTCCAACTGTTTGCATACAAGTTGATGTCTTCCATGCAATCTACAGGCAACCGTGGCAATCAGCAAGTGACCAAAGTCTGTGGTTGCTGCTGGTTTTGGTGCAACCTCCAGCAAACACATCCCAACGGGTTTTATGATGCGGGCTCTGCTTCCACAGAAGCGTATCGCACTCACCTCTTGCTCCTTGCTGTACTGCTTGTTCGCCGCTCTCTGAATAATGTCCCATGCCACCTTGTACCATTCAAACAGCTCCTCCAGAGAACCTGCAGTCAAGTCAAACTGCAGACTGTCTTCATCCTGGTCCTGCAAGGTCACTGCGTGGGGCTTCCCGTATTTACCATTCTTCACTACAAAAAGGAAGACAAAGAGGCCCAGTGATGTTTGACTC